CCCTGTGGGTTGCAGGACACAGGGGGATATTGTGAGAATGGTCGCCCCGTGCACCAGGGAGAGCGAACTGTGAGCTGGCCCTTGCTTAAATAAATACAGGAGCGGGGCAGGCGCCTGTGTTGGGGGGAGTGTTGGGGGGCAGTTGCAGGCTTTGTATTTCTCCGTATTGCTGAGGATTGTGCTCTCCAACTTTGGGTAATGAGGATCCCTAATCGGCAAGGAAAAAAGTGGCTTGTTTGCAAGGTGTCCATCAGCCCCACAGCCCACCCATCAGCCCCACAGCTCACCCATCAGCCACATGGGCCATCCATAAGCCCTGTGGCTCACCTGTCAGCTCCACAGCCCTAACATCAGCCCCACAGCCCACCTGTGAGCCCCACAGCCCACCTGTGAGCCTAAAAACCCATCTGCCAGGCTTGGAGCCCTCTCAGCAGCCTCACTGCCCACCTGTCAGCCCTACAGCCCACCCATCAGCCCCACAGCCCACCCATCAGCCTCATAGCATATCAGTCAGGCCCATAGTCCACCCATCAGCCCCATGGCCTATCCCTGAGCCTAATAGTCCATTCTGTAGTCCCAAAGCACATCTGTCAGCCCCACAGCCCACTCATCAGCACCATAGCCCACCCACCAGCCCTATAGCCCTTCTATCAGCCCCACAACGTACCCATCAACCCCCATCAACCTTGGAGCCCACCTGTCAGCCCTACAGCCCACCCATCAGCCCCCATGGCATCAGTGCCCACATGTCTATATGTCTTGACTTTAGAAAGTGTTTTGTCAGCCTCACACCTTTTTATAAGGTCTTTGGAAAGTTGTCTCAATAAAAACCTGTGTAAGGCTTGCAACTGATTAAAAAAACAAAACAAAACCAAAAAAACCCCACTTACAACCGTTTCCATAAAGGTGTGTAGATCAATAGTTTGTGGCCAGCCTGTAAGAGCGTTCTGAGTAGGGTCCCACATGGGGTTTCTGTAATATTTATACAGATGGCTTCTCTATTGGGAGAAAGGAAACATTAAAATGTGCAGAAGACATCAGGTGAGGAGAGCTGAAAACACCCTGAGAGCAGGGAAGGGCTCAGCACGACCTTGGCCAATAGGAGATGATCCAAGAGCATCCCACTGACATTGCATAAATACAAGTGCAAAGTGCTCAAGTTAGTGGCTGCGATGTCACATCACCCGGTACGGACAAGGGGCACTGGGCAGGAGGACTGCTAGTGGGGTGGGGGGTGAGGGCTGAGGAGAGAGGAAGGCTTAATGGGTTAAAAACCAAGTCTGATCCTACTGCCAAAAAAAAAAAAAGAAAAAAAAGTGATGACGAGCAAGCCAGCCCGCTGTGCTGCAGCCCTGAAACAGGGTGATGGGGTTTCCTTGCTTTGTATGCATCGACAAGGGGCACTGGGCAGGAGGACTGCTAGTGGGGTGGGGGGTGAGGGCTGAGGAGAGAGGAAGGCTTAATGGGTTAAAAACCAAGTCTGATCCTACTGCCAAAAAAAAAAAAAGAAAAAAAAGTGATGACGAGCAAGCCAGCCCGCTGTGCTGCAGCCCTGAAACAGGGTGATGGGGTTTCCTTGCTTTGTATGCATCTCCATGAAAAACCTACAATAACTGGAGATCCCCCCAAGGGGGGGGGGGGGGGCAATAAACGCTTTATGGGATTTAGTAACAGCTTTGACTAGAGTGGGCAATGGTGCTCCCTAAGAGGCATTATTAAGCCTTGGTTGGCCTGGTGTCAT